TGGAACACCAAAGTATATAAAATAATTGAGCAGTTAGTAAAACTGTGATTGAGTTGACTTAAAAGCTTAATACAATTCACTTACAGTCTTAGCACATATTGCTAACACTTGTGTTTACTTTTGAAACAAACCCATGAAGACAGTCTATTGTGTGTGCCTAAAGCTTATATTTATCTTTGAAATAAAATCCTTCTTGCTAAACAGTTTATTGAACCCTAAAATACTTTCCACCTTTATTCTAACCACAAAGACAAAAACTAAAATGATTTCATTTATTTTATACTTTCCTATTGCAAAAAAAGGGACTGTCCAGAAATTTGGAATGCAAAACTTCACTTCCATATAATTATGTGCCATTTCTATATAATCGTCCTAGTTAGTGATCTATGTAGCTTAGATATAGTGAAAATGAAGCAGACAAATAGCAAAGCCCCTATTATTGGGACAGAGAGGAGAGCAGAGCTAGAAAAGGTTGATATAGTATGTAAGTTACATTTAAAAGGTAATTCCTTTTATCCAGTGAACTGCATGTGTAGGGGTATGTGTAACTAGGGATTCAATCAGGCACTTTACCATTGAACTACATCTACAGCACCCCTTTTACATTTTTGAGACAAGGTTTGTCTAAGTTGTCCAAGTGTCACTGAATGGAGAGTGTTGGAGTTGTTTCCAGGTTCTTGGTATCCCAAACAAAGAGCAGGACACTCAAAAGAACTAAAATTTATTAAGACAAAAGAAGCGAAGCTACATGTCAGAGTGGGAGTGGGCCAGTGAGAATAGCTCACAGATCTGATGGGGCAGATACAGGGACACTTAAGGTCCTGGGATTATGGAGGATCTATAGCTGGGGTTGACCCGAGTCATGTCTGAACAGGGTACCTTGACTCTGCCCACCCTTTGGGAGGGGGTGTTTTTGACCATAGGTTTTTAGAGAGGGTGACATGGCATCCAATGCTCACTGTAGGAGGTCAAAATGCAAAGTATGTGAGGCTGGATGCAGGATAGCCTCCCATGCCTTTGGGTTTGCGCACGTTTAGGGCCCTTGTGGTAACAGGGTGATCTTTATCTATCAGTTTTCTGGTATGTTGACATAGTGGTCCTTGCTGTGTGTGGTTTCTCAATTCTCTACCCCACAACATATTACCTGTCCTTGTTCTACATTTGACCTCACAAGCTGGTCTTGAACTTCAGTGCTTCAGCCTCAGCTTCCCAAGTAGCTGGGATAACAGGTGTATACCACTATACCCATCTAATGATCTTAACCCTCAGTGCTGCTCTCTTCTGCTGCCCTTGACCTTCTAATAACAACCACAATTAGAGCAATCTCTCTCTTCCTCTCCTGCACTTACCCTGTTCGGAACACAGCATATACTATCAGGAAATAAGCAGCCGCAGACAGTTCAGTAGAGTAGAAGAAAATCATAAATGTAATCTATAGCACTGATCTTCTTACTAGCAAATTAAATATCCCTGTAGTAAAACCACTGATAGAATTGCACTTAACGTGTTCATTTCTGTGATGGCAGACAAAGCAAAACAGATAACTTTCCTGCAACAATCACCTTCATTTTGACACAAGAAATATCCCTGCTGTTACAGGCCTTCATGGGATTTAGACCAGTGTAGTGTTAAAAAATGGATCAATAAGTGGCAATGGATCCAGACAAGAATGCAATGATGCAGGCATGATGAAGACAGAAAGGCAAGATCACTTGTCTACCCATGTCTGGTCATGGCTGTCCCTGAAAGAAGAAAAATAAAATTACAGCCAGTACCTTGCTGTAGTTTCTTTCAAGGCTGCAAGTTAGTTGCCTGACCAATTAGATAAAACCCCTTGGCAACTAAGGATTTATTATTAATGCTGTGCAGGGATAACTACCAAAGATCTGTGACACATATTAATGTGAAAGATACTAGACAAATACCTTTTTAGAGATGTTGATATCCAGCATGAAATTCCTTATGGAGCAGTACTTTCATGTGATTCGGCTGGGAATCAGTTGCATAATTTCACATGCAATCTGTCACATTCTCCAGTGATGGACAAATTAAATAAAGACAAAAGTCATGAAAGATCACTTTCTTTAAAAAGTGGGATAATCACGAAGACAGAGCACAATCGTCAGAAGCCCGTCTTGCCAGGCAGCTGGTTAGGGGCAGTTTATATAGCCAAGGGTGATCACAGACTGGTGGGTGCCTTTTCACAGCTGGAGGTTGGTGGCCAAATGATGTGCATCTGATCCTAATCACCTGGTCAAGAGATGTTTTTCATTTCTACACCTGCTAAGAACAAAGACCATTATTTCCTTGGGCTATTCTTTCACTAGTTTACCCACATGCAGTTCCTGATTATTACTTGATTAACAGCTGGAAGAGTAGCTGCCCTGAGGCCTTCTTGTGCATTGCCAAATTTGCAGTAAGAAAGAAGAGAAACTTCACCTGATCATTGTAGAAGACAACATTTAGGTGAGGTTAAATAAGGAATCTGGCACAAGATCTGGTCTCATTGGTCGGCTTCAATTTCACCCTATCCTCTTCCCCCCTAGAACTTTAGATTTATCAGTCATTTTCCTGTCACTGGAACAAAACACCTGATATTCACAACTTAAGGTGAAGAGGTTTATTTTGGGTCAGAGTTCAGTCCATGATCAGCCAGCTCCAAGGTACAAACCGATGGTAGAAGGGCATGGTAGAGGAAAAATGCTCAACCCATGGCAACCACCAAGTAGACAGTGCAACAAGAGCCAGAGAAAGCGAGAGCAAGAGAGAGAGACCATATAAGGCACGCACCCAGTGACCCACCTCCTCCAGCCAGCACCCATTTCCCAACCACACATTCAGCTATGAACTCATGAAGAGATTTAGTCCACCAACAAGTAGAGCCCCATGACCAAATCACCTTCCAAAGCCCCGCCTCTGAATACATGAGACTTTGGGGGACCTCCTAGATCCAAATCGTAACAGTGGTGTACTACATACTCTTGTCATTTTATAGATGAGGGCAGAGGTTCTCTGGCTATTTTGGCAACTTTTTCCACTTCACTGAGCCAGTAAATGTTGTAGTGGGGATTTAAACCCCAGTCTTTTCAATATGTGATCTTTTCTTTTTAAAGTTTGCTTTTTAAAATAACTCTGAAGGTAATTAGAGTAAGTTGCATACCCACTTTATTTTGTTTGGTTTGGTTTGGTTTTTTTTGGGGGGGGTGCCTGGGATTGAACTCAGCACCTCACACTTGCCAGGCAGGCACTGTGCCACTGAGCTACATCCTCGGCCTTATATGTACTTTTGGATATGATAGAAGATACTTTAATTATTTGGTGTTCATTTTGTAAAGAAATGGGGAAAATCCTTTGTCATATACATAGTCATAGTTCCTTTTATGTTTCTTAGTTTATAAGATTAAACTGATATTCAAAACATCTCTCCTTTCATCCTAGAATCTCCCCTAAAGAGTTCATTAGCTTTACACTCTCTCATTTCATAATACAGTGCTGCATCAAGACATAAAGATATATTTTTCTTACATATTACTCACTTAAATGTCTCCTAAGAATTAAAGTCTTAAGGAATGGGAAGTTGCCACAAATTTCAGTATTTGATAGAATGCTTTTTTTAAATGCATGTTTCCTTAGTGCTCATGTGATCCCTCTGCTAGAATGTTTATCTAACTCTGAAGATTGTTGTCTATTCATTCTGAAAATTTCAGCTCAAAGATTAGCCTTTTTCTAAAATTTTGCTTTCCTCCCAGATCCTTCACTTTCCTGGCCAGAGAAAGATTCCCTATTTTCTCATAATATTGCTGTAAGAGAATTCATCACATTGTGTTGTATTTTCAAAAATAAGTGGTTATCAGCACCCTTTTGGTGGTGCACAAATGGATAAGTGCAGTGAAGCTCGGGTCTAATTGCACATCTAAGGTGCTCTGGAGTGTTTAGTTGTCCACCTTCTGATTGCTGCTGGGATAGTGGAAGCCACACAGCAGCCCCATGGCTGAAACACTGGTACTTGTTCCCTCTCTCTACTCTTAGGCCAAAGCTCCTTCAAACCCAGACTTCTCACCCAGGTAAGGCTGGGAATCAGGGGATGGGGCACATGGAGGGAAACCATTCGTCTCTGGCTCTCCATAACAAGAGTGGACTCAGACAACAGGCCTTTTTTCAGTGTCTCCTTGATGCTTGAAACCTGAGGTGCCAAAATACTCCAAATGCCTTGACAAGTCAGGAAGAACCAAGTCCAGTACAGTACCTATCTACTTTTTTAAGCAGTCAGATTCTGAGTTATTATTAAAAACAATGGCACTGTGGGTGAGGAATTGGTCAGAATGGGAAATGAGAATTTCAGTTTCTCCCGAGTGGGCAGAGTTTCTAATTTCACTGTACCCCTTCTGAGTCTTTACTGTACTCCCTAGTAAAAGCATTCTTACAGGTTAGGTGTTAAAGCTACCTAAGGAGACAGGCCTTGTAACAAAGCTAAGTGCCAAAAGCATGTTACTTTATCCTCGATATCTGCACTTTTGTAAGTTCACTTTCAATTTAGAAAATTTCATCATTTTTTTACTTTTGTTTCATCAATATATTTCACTGTCCTGATTTTAAAAAGTAAGTTGTGGTTTAGTTTAAAAGTACCACAGTGCTGGCCAGAATTGGACTCAGAGAGGCTCCTTTTTTAATTTGAAATTTCTATAAGAAAAAAATATTTTCTGTTATGGTAAAATGCTTATGCTTTGATAACGATTAGTAGCTTATTTTAGGGCTCTACTCAGGAAATAAAATGATTGTGTGGTTGTTTTTTTTTTTGGTCTACATCAGTTGTTCTAGTTTTATTTTTGTTTCAAGTACTCAAGTATTTATTTCATTTCAGTACAAAATACAGAATTTATATATTCTTTTAATCTTCAAGGAAAAGAGACTCTGGTTCACACCTTCCGATAGTCAACTGTTCTGTACACAGATTATTACAGCAGTTCATATGAGATAGAAGATAGACATGTGAGAAATAAAACACTCTCACAGTTTTAAAAATCATAAACATGCTTTAAAATGTTTATTCGTCTACTTAAATACAATGTTCATTTACATATTTTTTGCATAACTCTTTGGTTTTAAAAGTTCCATATACATAAAAAATAATGACAGAGAATCCAGGAATAAAGACCCCCATTATGTATGGATGTTTTGTTAGTAATTACATAATAAATTAAAGAATGGGTCCCTTTGAAAAGTGGAAAATCTGTGAAGGTTAAGAATTTGATTACCTTTAATAGAAGGAAATTTAAAGTCTTTATATAATAAAATGCCAGTAATTTCTGAGAATATTATATAGCCTTGTTATTCTACCACAGGGAATTGTTTGAAATGATGTATTTTGGTGAGTGTCAATGAATTTGCCAATTTTCAAAGACAGAAATGATACTCAAATTATTACATCTGTATTTGGCAGCAGCTCTCCTCCTGTGGAAAGACATTTAAACAATTTAGATCTAATTTAGATCAGGTTAGCAGCTGGTTTTGCTCATCATAGCTAATGTTTCATTTTCTTCAGTGAACTGAAGAGTGAGTTATGTATTTCTTCCCATAATCTTGGACGTGATAGTTGTGATAGCCATTTGAATAAGAAACACCAGCAGATGGGTTTAGCACAGCTCTGGGTGTGTCCGGATGACTGACTTACAGAAGCAGGAAGCCCCATTGTAGGTGTGATACCAATCAATAAGCTTGTAGCCTAGATGAAGTAAAAAGGGAAAGAAGAAGGAAGTCTTGCTTCCACTTATTCCAAAGAGCTCCTGTCTTTGCCACTGCCTTTGAACATCTGTCTCCAGGCCTCCCACACAGACTCTTCAGCTTTCCAGTGCAGACGCTTGGGCTTCCTAATACAAATTCCTGCAGCACTTTGCAGTGAGCTTCGGGCCTTTGACTTGTGACTGCATCCTCTTGTTTCTCCAGCACACAGTCAGCCCCTTTGCACGCTTCCACATCTCACTCTATAGGCAGCCACTGAACACCTACCTTCTAAATCCTTTACATATACATATATATATACATATTCTATATTAAATCTGTTCCTCTACCCTAACTGGTAGTAGGAGTTGGGGAATACTATGATTCTAAAAATAGAATTCTGTCTAAATGATGCAGAATATAATGTGCAGAGTAACAAATTTAGGAAAAATATAAATAGAAGAATTAGAGCAAAGCAAATTTGGAAACAAGCAGCCAGTGGTCCAGTTTATCACTGAAAATCAAAACAAAACCATAAAAATATCACTTCAGGGATTTGACACTGTACTCACACTTGATATATAAATTTTAGGGTATCCACATTCAAAGACAGAATTTAAAAATAGTAAAAGAGAGAGTGATTATATAGTCTCTGAAATGAGGAGTATGACTGTCATGTTTTCTCATCAGCAGTTTTAATGCCTTTCCTGTAGATGAAGTCGCATGAAATACACTGTTTACATTAGCAAAAACAGAGAATTTATGTCCTAACTACAGGCTTTATTACCAAAAGTTCATTTGAGAATTTATAAGCATATGTGATTAAAAGCAATCTAAGAAAGAATATATTACATGAGGAACTGCCCAAATATATGTTTTGCTTTTGTTTTTTAGACAGGGTCTCACTATACAGTTCAGCCAGGCTGGTCTTAAACTCACTAAGTAGCCCAGATGGCCTCAAACTCACAGTGATCTTCCTGCCTCAGCCTGCTGAGTGCTGGGATTACAGATGTGCACTACCCAGCTCCAAATCTTTTTATTTTACCCTGCAGAATTGCCAGAAAATAAGCACGCAGTCCTGTAATTAAGCATAGAATTTAAACTAAAGTTTATCTTCGTATGGACAGTAAAGCAAAAGTGATTACTTTGTTACTTTAGTGTGAGTACTGCAATTAATTACTTCATAGATTTATTTTAATTAACTCACCAAATTAATTAGGGTATATAGATAATATAATACTGTATTTTAAATAATTCCTTATAAGACATTTTCACTGGTAGCTATTTTACATATATTTAACTTAAAAATAAACATATAAACATTCCTTCATATATACAAGAGCTACTTCAAAGAGTAGAAGTTTCCTTCTCAATATAAACATTTTAAAAGAATTATTTACAAGGAACAATTTTCTCATCCAAACACAAAAATTTCTGATATCCCACTTATTCAACAGATGTTCTTCTCATTTTTTCAGCTAATTCTTGTCGCATTTCAATGTGTTTTTCTAAATTTTGCACTTCATGTGGAAGATTGATGTCCCAAACTGACAAACAAGATTGTATCTCTAGAAGAAGAAAAAAAAACTGATTATGTTTCAATGATCCACTATGAAGCTTTTTTATTTTATTTCAATTTTGTTAATTTATATGCAGTTTATTTACACAGATATTTACATATATATTTATAGCTATAAATAATGGACTAAATTATTACATTTACAAAAAACTATATTTGGAAAATGTTAGTAATATAGAAACTATTAAATTTCAAGAAGAGTGTAAATATTTTATTATGTATTACTTCATTTTTTGAAAGAAACAGAGCTTTTTCAAACACTTCAACTTCAGATCCATGGTCATAGGTAAATTATAAGGAGAAATATTCATATTTAGTTTAAATTTCAGCTAGTTCTTACTTTATAGCAACTGTTAACTCTATGTCAACTTAAAATATACCATTTCTAAGTCCAGGATACAATTTTAAGAATTTATGACTAAAGTTTTTACACTATAAAGAAATTACCAACTAAAATGCTAAAAGTATTATATATAACACTTACTATAAATTTATAAGGCAATATATTATTACCATTAATGTCACTGCACTCTTTGGAATACAGTATCCTATTAAATAGTACCTTTTTGGTGTTGTAAGCCTTCAGTACTTTTCTGGTCATACCCCAAAACCAGCATGACATTTTTAAGGCTTCCTTTACCAAAACAAAATAAAATTTTGTTAAAATAGTCTTTTTTTGGGAAAAAAGTACAGTTGTGCATATTTGAAGACACACATACTCTGGAATTACAATTATATTTTTAAGAGACATTTTAATTGTATTAAATAAACTCTACAAGACTATCAGTTTTTTTTAAGAAAAATGTATCTATTTGTTCCAGCCAAATATGTGACTCTTAGAAAACAACTCAACTTTTCTGTAAAATAGATTTAGTATTTGTATATTACCTCCCCCAATTATACTATTAAATGAAACAATGTGTATGCAAGTGCTTGGACACTCTAAGGCACAAAAGCATTTGGATGGACAGTTGCAAAAATGGACACACTGATACAACACTATATTTTCCACTTCACTTATTTACTAATTTATCTGACAAATACTAATCCAGAGAGTTTCACCCACTAGGCCCAAAGCTGGTACTGGAATAAAGGAAAAATATGCGGACCCAACCCACATAGAGTTTATGTTCTAGTGAAGATATTGACATTAATGAAAAATCATGACTATGATCAAGGATATGACAGGAGAGCCAGAAAAGGAAAGTTTGATTCAATCAGTGTTGGCTTCTCTGAGGTTTTGATACATGAGCTTTCATTAAAAAATGCGCATAGCTAACTAACCAAAAAGGTAAACTAAGTTAACTAAGCAAAGAAACAATGCCTGCACATCTCTTAAGCAGGATAAAGCACAGCAATTAATAGAGAGAATGCTCATCTAGAGAGAAAGGTCTGAGAGTAACAAGGTACTGGATGGGGACTAGAGAGCTAGGATAAGGCCTCTGGAGCTTATGTCTACATGTTTACATGGTGTTTAAATTTATTTTTATTTTAAAATTGTGAAATATCACTATAATTTTTGTTTTAAACAACCATGTGGGCACACACAAGTTAAATTAGAGAATTAGCAAAGTTGGTAGATGATTACTATTGAAACCTATTATGCTACCTGTATGGACACACAGCCTAACTCACCAAGAGCGTCTAATTCTAACTCCTGTGCAACTCTGACATCCATAAATGATAAATGAGTGGGGGTGCTGGAGACACACCTGTCCCTATTTAATATGTCCTTGCAAAATAAATCTGTTTTCTTCACCATGGTCAAACATTTCGCAACTCATTTGCCAAAGTTACATAAACTCTACTTTTGCAGAACTACAGTGTTATTTTTGTGTTCAACTTTGTATATACATATGCATGTACTATTTTTTCTAAATCAAATTATTAATCAAAGACAGACATTGAAATATACTTATGTAGAAAATATATTTTATGCTATCATGATTTCTTTACATTCAAATAGAAATGCAGGAGCAAGAATAGACATAATACTTGAGCAAAACTTATGATTTGTCAATATTTGTAGATTGTTGAGTTCAGCATGTATTGCTACAAGCATAAAAATTTGTTATAGAATGAAAACTCAAACAGGATTCTTTAACAAGGGTGGGAAACTTAAACTATTACCAAAATAAATATTTGCTTTAATTTCCTCAATGAAAAAGTGAAATAGACTCAACACTATATATCTACCATTTTTGCCTTACATATAATAAAGAACAAAAGAAAGCAAGACTCAATCTGAAATGCTCAGCTGGAGTCATCTGCTTCACTCACAAGACGGAGAACATCTATTTCCCTTCATTTTTCTAATTGAGGCAATTGAAAATTTATTGAGAATTTATCCTAGTCCTATGCTTTATTATGTGAAATTCCAAGACACACTGTATGACATTTCAAATGAAGAGAAAATTTATTTTTTTAAAAAGTCATATTTTATATTCTTAATGGAAAGAAACTTGCCTAACTGTGCTGTCATCATGACTCTAACGGAATCACAAAAGTTGTAAATTATACGTATGATTCGACGAGTGGAAAGATCCAGGAGTAAAATGTGGCCTCCTCCAGTTCCTATCCAGAGAGCAGTGTTCTTCTGAAGGCACAGAGTTTTCACTCTCCCAGAATAGGACATTTTGTGTTTTGATTCCCTGTTGACTTTTACTGTTATTTCCCTAAAACCATAAAAAATATGCATTAATAATTTTTATCAATAATTCAGAGATAAAAAAGATTTGTCTATAAATACATACATATATAAATGTGTCATAATATTACACATGCACAAATGTGTTAACATTTCAACTATGGATACATGACAATATTGTCATTCGCTGATGTCCCAAGGGAATTGGTTCCTCCACAGCAGTTACCAAAATCATAAGTGCTCAGTTCCTTATAAAAATTGATGTAGTATTTGCATGTGAGTTATGCACATCCTCGTATAAACTTTAAATTATCTCTAGATTACTTATAATACCTAATATAATGTAGATGCTCTGCAAGTAGTAGTTACACTGTATTGTTTAGAGAATAATGATAAGAAAATGTCTGTATGCATTTGGTACAGATGCAAATGGGCCTAAAATTTTGATCCTATGTCAGGTGAAAATGTCAATGCAGAACCCAAGAACCCACAGAGGACTGACTGTCTGTATTACATATTATTAAACTGTACCACACTACCTTTGCTAAATACAGAATGTCTAAAAGGCTGTTTCTCTATGTAAAGCATAAGTCATCAAAGACAACACAATGGTAATCCCTCAATTCTAAGAAATTCTGAAATAAATAAGATGGATACAAGTTTATAAATAACTAAGCTATTTAATCCAGTAAAAACTGAATAATTTTGTTCAATATAAAAGTTAGTTTTAAAAGGTTCCTCTTCCTCACAGTCTCAAAGTTACAAGGCAAAATAAAAACATAGTCATTTACATGTAAAATATAGCAATACAAACCACTGAATTTTCCCTATGAGCCACTGAATAGTCTAATGCATACAAAAAATGATCTGTCTAGATTTAAAAGAATCCTAGGAATTTTGGAACTTTAGTAACTAAGAGACCCTCAACCAAGCAGAACTGTCAGCCCATCTGAACGTAAGTGTTCTCAGCCTCCAGAGGAGAACAGCAAAGATGATGCCAAGAAAGTGAATTCTGAAGCCTCATTTTATGGATATAATGTGTAATCTAAAATATTCTCCACAGTACACCAAATTTATATGGTAGAATAAAAATAAAATAAGAAGAGTATGTGGCTGGGAAACAGGATTGGCCATGATCCTGCTGATCAGCACTAGCACATAAAGGACGTGTCTTGTGTACAGAGAGACTGGTCCCTCGTCTGCTGCTGTCACACCCACTCTGAGCTCTACTTCTGGGTCTGGGCCCTCCCTCCGCAGCACACACTAGTGTGTCCATACGTATCTTTCTTATTTTTTGACGTTTTGCTTGACAAGTATCCTTGGGCTCATAGTTTAATTATAAGTAATAATATTAGGTACTATGACACTACTACATTGAGAGCCAGCAATGAATCCATCTGGTTGCTTCTAATAATGACTATTTTTTGCACTATCGAATATTCTTTGTACTACCATGAAGAAACCAATTATATTTTTCCTATTCTTTTATATTCCCCAAATGAAATATGCTGGATACTAACAAAGGGTGTTGACAAGCATTGATGATTTTGTTTCTGCATTATTATTCTTTTGAAATTTCTATTTAGAGACAGAAAGGAAGAAAAATCATGGTTTCTCCTTCTGTGAAATCTGAAATGTAAGGACAACTGTTACAGGTGAAAAACAACCAGTGAATTTACTTTAGTAAGTGCACACAGTCTATTAGTTCGCAGAGTTTTTCAGTTTTCTTGTCCCACACTTCCACAACAGGGCTATTTTTCTTAGCGATATAGAGAGCTGTGTCTACCACCACTGCTATGATGTTGGAATCACTGAATGCTGCATAAGAAAACCTAGGAGGGAAAAAAAAGAATATCAAAAAAGACCTGCAATACAGCTTTACATTAGTTCTTAGGTATGTGAAAAGTTAACACTATTTAGAAAAATACAGACCCTAGACTATTACACATTTCTTATTCTCCTTTCAACATTGTGAATAAGATCTATAATTTACTTTGCTACTTTACTTACTTTGGGTTACTTTCTATTGGTTTCCCTTAACTAAAAAATTCTTTGTAGAATTTTGCACTGTATTTAACTTCTAAAAGAAATATCCTAATAGTTGTAACTTTTTGATGTTGCAATAAAACCCTTGTCATGAATGCTGGGAAAACTAAGGATTAGCAATTTATATGTACACTTATAAAACTCAAAATGTTGAAATAAATTTTAGTGGCAAGTGTTAGAGCAAGAGATATCCTTGCATCAACATAAACCAATCAAGTTATTAGGAAAAATAATATACATCACCAAAATGTAAATAGAAAGTAAATTGTTTGCCATTTCCACCCTTTGAAAAAAAAAGACGAGCATTTTAAAATATTTCTCTTCCAACCTAAGCCATGTGGCATTGCACATATTTCACAGACTGGTGACCATGGGCCCCATCTGTATGACAAGCTCAAAGTGTGAGAATTACAGACTGCGAATATAATTTCTTAATAACAAACTCTGTGCCTTTTCAATATGCCCACAGTTAGCAAAGAGCCAACACCAGTAAGTACCTCTGATGTGCTGTGCAGTTTAAGTGGGTGGACACAAGGATGGATGGATGAAAAGTGAACTAACAAGATGAATGAACAACTAGAAAAAAGTAAAAATAGATAAAATTGCAAATGAATCAGACAGATGATGTGAAAACTCCATAGGGATCTAATAATCACAACTATATCCTAGGATACGAAGATGTTTTTTCTCCAATATTTTTTTCTATTCTGCTAAGGGAGATGAAAATATGATGTGCTGCCTGAGAACTACTGCATTGCATAGTTTTTTCTGTTTGCTATATTTACTAGAAGATAGTTCCAATTAGCAAAAAGTTGCACATAGAGTTATAGAATTTATAAAATATCTTCATGTGTTATCTTCTTTGATCCTTAATAATAAATTTAGAGAATATGGTAAACCTCAATGTTTATAATAGAAAGAAAGGTTTACAAATGCTAAATAATTGGCTCAAACCCGCAAGACCATATTGCAGGCTCAGGACTCAAAATAAGACTGGTGGCATCTTCTGGTTCCAAAAGCAGTCGGCTTTCACTACTCAATTTGCCTCTTAGTCACTGTGGGGATGGTGATAAACACAATCAGGATGACCAAGCAGCCTGGTTAGTGACATAGCAACTGTTTAATGGGCAAGAGACTGAGGCAACAGGGGACACATTTTAGAAGAAGGCAAATATTTCAAAGTGCTAATGTTACTGTCTCATCTCCCTTGGGAGATGAACACCTTTGAAAGCTTAGTCAGTGCTGCCTTGGTTCATGAAGTTCATTCCATGATTCTGGTTGCAAACTGAGTTAGATGAGAACCAAATCAAATTCAGTGGTTAGGTTCAATGTTGACCTTATGGAGAAATTTGATTCGGTTTTTATCCAGTTCAGTTTGCAGCCAGAATCGTGGAGAGAATTGAGTTTTTGAACCGAGGTACCATGGTATTTACAGATATCCTCTAGGAGAGTATCTTTACTCCAAATCTTATGTGGAATTTTATTGATTCATACCCATGACCCATAAAATGGCTCACATAATTGAGATAAAAGTGAAAATTACAGAATGAGAATGTGAACAACCAGGTATTTTCCACTTATAGTAAACAAATCTATGAACCAGACAAAAAATTAAAATCCTCATCCACAAGGACTCACAATATATCGCAGTATATCTTAACCCTGACTTAAGAATCACCAGTGAGCTCGTGTAGGGAGGAACCTGAAGCCTGGGCCCCTCCTAGGCTTACCTGGTCTAAGGCAAGTCCAGGCACGAGATTATTTTCAGCTACCTTGTGGTTTCTAATGAACAGCTAACACTGAGAATCAACAGGTGGAGTAATATTAAGAAACTATTTTTAGATACAATTATAAAAATATGATAGCTTGTGTAAAAAAAAAAAATAGGGGCATCGAAGCACAACTACAAGGCCCCTAACCGGCATGCGCTGGATCAGGGGACAGCACTCAGAGGAAAGGGTATCAGGAAGGAAACTGGCTGGGGCACACAGGCCATCCAGACACAGAGAAAACCAAATCCAAAGCAGCAGTTTGGTCTTGGTAACTGACGAGGTAGAAAGAAATAAAAGGTAAAGAAAATCGTAACCTTAAAACTGTACTTAAGAAAACTATGGTTCCCCTGTCTGTAAAATGGGCCCTTCATTGCTTTTCACTTATAAAATGACTTCGTGAGGGTGGAAATCTGTGAAATTTGTGAACCTATAGAAATCCCGGGTTCAATTTACAGGGAAAAGACAAGGACCAATTTTATAAGAGCAAGTCATAATACTCCCAGCCATAATTCATCTCGGTCCGTACGTGCCTATATTTCCTTCTGAGTGGACTTCTTTCTAACTAATAAATCTTCATGCCTTTCCCTGACACATCCTGAAATTTCAGTTCGGTTAAAGCACAGAGGGAAGGGAAGAGGCAAAATATTAACTTAGAGAGAGGTAAGCAAGGACTGAATCATGAAGACACGGGTAGGCTGCCTTGGGGAAGTTGGGCTTCATTTGGAGGACAGTGGGCCACCACTGGGGACTCTTACAAGAGAGCTGGAAGCATCCTGGCTCTGTGGTGCATGGCTGTAGTGCTAGTACTTTGAGAGTCAAGTGGAGAAAGGGGGAAAAGGACAAAGGAGTCCAGAACACTTCCACATTTTAATCTTGAGCACTTAGATGGATACTATAAATTATAATTGCCCCTGCCCTAAGGATTTGTGAGCCAAAGCTAGTAACAATTATAATAATAGTTAAAATTTATTGAGAGCTTACTAGGTAATGGGTATTATGTTAAGCTCCTGATACTAATTTTCTTACTTAATCCTGAAAATATTCCTTTGAGTTATACTAGTACATTACAATCTTTTTTTTTCCCATTAACTTTATTGGTACATTTTAGGTATAAAATACAGTTACATTCATCACTGGGATCTTGTACCATTACATGAGTCTCTTGGTTCTTATTTGTTCCCCCTTCCCTTGCCCTCCCTTCACCCCCTCCAACC